AGTTATTATAGCAAGAAGAAAAAAAATTATAAACATTTTTTAAAAATGTTTTTTTGTTTTTGGCTTAGTAATACGAAGTATTAAAAAAATAGATAAACAAACAAATATATATGATATGATATGCTTTTTATTTACTCACTAAACAAAAATGTGAAAAAGGAAATATTTTTTGTAAAACATATGATGCAATATGTCCCTGAAATCTTCAGGATAATTATAATATAATGTAAAGACAGGACACATCAAATACTGCTCCCTCAACAACAAAGTCCTTACACAGTACTTACACACTTTCTCCAACAAACTGTTTAAAGTGACATGCCTACCAACACACTGATTTCTTCTGAATATCACGAAGGGATAAAACTTCATCAAATCATCCACTTGATACCAACTGTTTCCTGCAGTTTTCCTACTATTGAACACCTTTTATGAGACTTACAGTTTTAGATATTTTGTGACGTTACACATGTCTGAGGAAGATGGAAACTGTGTTATCTCACCCTGAAAGTATAATGAAGGGGCCATGTGAAACTCAGGCTACTTTGTGGGGTTTTATGTGTAATCAATGGAAATTGTGAGGTCCTCAAATAACAACCCCCGACCCCCCCACCAATCCCTGCGCTTGCCAGAGAGTGTCCTCAGGCTCTGTTGCGATGACGGAATAAGAGAAAGCCAGTTCACTTTCACATAGAGACCAATTCATTTGGGACAGAAGTGAAGTTTACAGATGAAGGTTTCTGTTCTTCTCTTTTCTTTTTTCTTCACAACCAACACATCTTCAAAGCATCACTTCACAGCAGCTCCCGCAGTCATTCTCAACAGAAATTGATGAGAAGGCAAGATTCTCACAGTACCTGAAAGCTAATGCATTGATCAGCGTGTAAAAGAATGGTCATTGAGTCTGAAAACAGTTCAAGCACCATTATTGCACATTTTTTCTGACTTTTCATAGATTTTACAGACAATCCCATGTTTAACTGAAACTCTTGAAGACCCACCTCTTCAAAGAGCATCTCCTATCCTAACCCTAACCCGTACCTCTACCCCCCCCACAGCTCCTTCTGTAGCCCCTCTACCTCTATCTCTATCTCACCACTAACTCTGATCAGTGTTTCTGTTCTATAAAGTTTATTGTCATTGTGATGAGAAATGTAATACTGTGTCTACTCTGTAAGTCGCTTTGGATAAAAGCGTCTGCCAAATGCATAAACATAAACATAAACATTAACTATACAGTACGGCAACTTCCACAACGCAATATGACACACCAAAAGGTGCCCGTTTTGTTTTATAATTTTGCATTAACTCCTATTGTGATTAACTATTTCAATCACTGACATTTTAAGGCTAAACATTAAACTTTAAGTTTAAAAAGTTTCAATAAGAGGAAATATCTTTTTTTATCTGTTCCTTTCAGTTTTGATGGATCACTTTGCTCATCCCAGATTTAAATACAAGATAAAAAAGTAGGTCTTGCAGTTCTTTTACCAACTTGTTGTAAAAGCGGCAGCTTTAATAAAGTCAGCCTACGTAAACTCAAATGAACAGTCTGAACGGCTGTGATAACAGAACTATCTGATCTCATTCACGTCTGTTTTTCTATGAAAAAAAACCCCGTTGTAATGGGGTACAAATTTGACCTTTTGTGCGATGAACAGTCCATTAGCCAGCTGCCCACAGGATGTGAGAGAAGCCCTTGATATTGAAAAGTGTCTTATCTAGCTGAGCTATCTTTCTTGAATGCTTATGATTCTGACTGGTGAGAATAAGCAGCACATAATTGGATACTGTTGCTTCTTTCGTACCCCGGACTTTGAAATGCCACAGCCAAAAGAAAGCATTAGCCTCATCCAGCAAGGATGTGTTGAATGTCCTGCATGAGATGTGAAAAGGAGATAGGAAGAATTAAAGCTGAATAGGCAGAGTGTTTCAAATGCCTCATTTGCACCATATGAGTCAGGCCATGTTTGGTCTCAGTGGGAATGTCTGGCATGACCTTAGAGAGAGAATTCATCTAGACATTCACAGTTGATTACAGATGACCTCTCTCGCATGTAGCACAATGCTCTTATTTTGAATATCCAAGCCTCAGACTTAGAGAAAAGGTGTAAAACATGGAAATCCTGGACAACTAAACCACAACTGAGGAAGGAACTTAAAAGAATACTAAGAAATAATGTCTGAAAACAGGAGCTCAAACCGTCATTTCAGTATCTCACAATAATGCCAAAATCCATTTCTGATCAACATTACAATGTAAGCAGCTGAAAACTCATGACTTCAAACTGAACTCTAAATACGATATGCATTAAGATGGCATTTGTTGTCATTTAGCACAATATAACTGACATCTTAAAAAATAAGAACAGGAATATAAACAAGAACAAACACACACCTGTTCAATCTATGACATTTCCACTGAGGTTACCTACCAAATGTACTACGGTGAAATACTAGGAATTAAGCAACCCTGTCCAAATGTTTCAAATCTGAATAATTTACATCCCATTAAAAATAAATTAATCAGGCCAACTATCTAATTCTTACTTATCTCCCTTTTAAGTTTGCGTTTGCATGTGTGTCACATCTGGAAATATTTGGACTTGTATGGCTGCAAAATATTGCAGTTCCTTTTGACCTGGTCTTATGATCAACCATTTTCATGCTTTGGAAAAAAAACCTGCTGAGATATTTCATACTCTTGGACCTGCTGGTAGAACTAGATGAGAGGTCAAATGCCACAATGAATGCCTGCAGCAAATCTCCTACATTTTATTCCCACAGCCACCACAATGACTCAAAAGCTATAAATGTCAAGTTATGTTTTGAAAAAGATTTTTGAAACAACGCAGTCTGTTTGAACTTACAACACTGAACAAATTGCTCAGAATTTTCAGAGTCACATAGCTTTTTAATCAGTCTTTTCTTTTTTTTGGATGCATTAATAAAAATTAAACAAAGGAATTATCCAACTGAACCATGACCCCTCTCCAGGAATCAAAGATACTGATCAAAACCAGCAGCCATGTTTGTGTTCTTAAAACTATGTCCATTGTTTATTTTAATGCAGGGTGAGCTAAAGTGCAATAACCTCCCTTCAGGTTGGCTGCTTTCACACGAACCAGTCATCAATCAGTTTAGCTGTTGAGTGTCGCTTCGAGGCAGCAATGGTATCTGTTGCAGTAACGAATGTGGACGGCGGTGGTGAACACTGGAGATTGTTTCCATATGGGGCCCTGTTAACGCAGATTTGTTTTGCTGGCGCTGAAAAAACAAGCTTTTGTGTCATAGTTTGCTTACTTCAAGCATCCAAAGAGAAACCACTTGCCAACTTTTGCATAGGAAGGGATAAACAAAGCAGTCACCCTTCAACCTGGACAGATACATCAGAAACAGGTAGCTGGAACTCTCAGGAGAAATTGTTCCCACTGGGCTAGGGTTTGATTACGTTGGCTCATAATTTTTACCCCTTTCAACAAGAGACACAGGCATGGGCATGGAGTTGTTAAAATAAACAGAAAGTGCAAAAAATAGGATCTGAATGTTATGAAAGGTTTATATTATGTTGTTAAACTGTGAATGAAACATAAAGTCTTGGTCTTTTATATTGGATTCTCCAGAGTGAAGATCCATGTTGTAAAGTAAACATTTTCAGAAAGTAAAAGAGTTAGATATGAAAGTTATGGGATAGTTTTGGAAGAATTTAGTGTGTAGTTTTAATGACTTTAACATAGAACAGTTAATTCATAAAGAAAGGAATAGGAAGCTATCACTGCTGTTAGTTGTAAAAAAAAAAAAGTAATGATAGAAATTAACATTTTTGTAATTAAACCAGTTATTGTAAAAATTCCAGCCTGTATTTTCCCCTAAATCTTAAATCAACTGTAGCAGTTTTCAAAAATATGCAGACTCTTCCTGTAGGTACCCTATCCTCGATTTGCATAAAATCCCGACATGCATAAAATCACAGTAAAATACCACTTTTAGATAACTGTAGTCGCTGAAATACATTGTATCTGTATTGCGCTTGATTTTGCAGAATGAAAGACTCATTCTTTGCCTAGCCATAATGGCCCTTCACAAGGTGCCCCCCTCCCCATCCTTCACCTCTACTCAAACATGTCTCACTTCTAACCCCTTCGGTCCTCAAACGAGCCTCTATGTGGTCCACTTGTCGGAGCAGACTCTGACCTCTCCGCGTCCCTGCTTCAAACGGCCGTGCCGCATGATGTGGAGGACGACACAATTTGCATGGCAGTGCGAGCTCCACTCCACATCAGTGGGAACACTGCTGTTCCCACCTCATTTGTAAAGTTACAGAGCTCTTGCAGCAATTCTGGCGCGGTTTCCGAGGGAAAAAGGGCTGATGGCGGGGGGAGCTTGAACCGGAGGATGCGTCCAGAGGTCCAGCCTTCTGCCACGCTGGGTCTCAGGTGTTCCTTTAATCAACATAGTGCACCCTCCCCCTCCCTCCATCCCTAGTTGTTCAGCGCATCCGTAGAGAATTAAATGCAGCACAGATTGGGGGCGGGAATAAAACTAACCCGTTAATGGAGGATGTCAGCCACAGATATAAATGTGCTGGACAAATGTGGGTGCTATTTATCTTGAATCTAAATACAGGTACACTCCGATTAAACATTAATTATTATCCTAAAGCTGCAGGCATCAATCAGCTTTTCAATATAAACAGTGATGATTAGGTAACAGAAACAATTATTTAATTTCTACTAATAAAGGATAATTGAATATGATTAGCTCAGTATTTCCCCTTCATTTTGAACCAACTCTACAAAAATGTGGCTCACAAATGTGTCAATATTTTTCTAAAAGAGTCAAACTGTGTGGCAGAGAACACAAAAGTAGATCATGCCCAAAAAGAGATTTTGCGTTTGCTCGTTCCTTTGAAGCATCAGCTTGACTAAATCAAACCAAAAAAGAAGATATTTAAATAGGTGTCAAAAAATGTTATTTTTCTAGAAATAAGGCAAGCAACATCATTTTAAACGGGGGAAATTTAATGTATTCATCATTCACTGAATGCAGTTCCTCTCCTGACAGATGCACATAGAGCTCTTTGACTTACATCAAAGAAAACACCAACTGAGTGTTTCAAGACCGAATCATTATGAGGAATATGCACAAAAATCACAAGTTATGGTCCATGTCAAAATGAAACTCTTTCAACTGGTGAGATGGCTGCAATAGTAGGTAAGTTTTATGTAGCCTCTACATTTGATTCAGCACAAACTGATTCAGGATGTCATGGTGATCAAGCCAAGTTAATAAAGCCACCTCTGTAAAACTGAAAGAACTTTTAAGAACCTTTAAGAAAACAATGTTTTCCTGTGGTTCCCACCTCAGACCCGTTACCTAAAGGAGCCCCAGACTGTTTGGAAGCCTGAACCAAGGGAACATCTCACTGTCAACCTTACAGGAGCTGCCCTCCACCATCCTAAATAAGAGACGATAGAGGACAAATGATAACAAAATTCACAAAACAATATTCTCATATCTTTTAAGTGTTTTCAATTAATCAAATAAATGCTTTAAATAACCCGGCAAGTGTAGCTTTGTTAACATTCCGCTTTTTACCCAATGCTGCACAAAAGAAGACCAACCCCCCCTTTAAAGGAGCACGTTTGACTGAGGATTTGTAGTTAATATGCACGGACTGAGCAAATATTTTACAAGTACAATTTTGTGTAGCAAAGACAGGAGCTGTGTAAACCAGATAAATGACTGAGCAGACATCCAATTTCAATGGTTTATGTAAGAGTAGTAAAAACGACACTTTGCTGCCATTATATTTGGATTTTACATGCAACCATCCCAGCTATGCTCCCAAGTAAGGGTGCCGAGTACAAGCTGAGAAAAAGGGACTTATTTCATAAAATATCAATTGTTCTCGAACAACTGAAAGATGCCGGGATTTGTGATTACTCTTAGTTAAGATATTGATTCATGTGAGGCAGCAGCAGTCATTTCAATCATGTGGAACCAAGGTATGAAATACAGGTCTCAATAAAGGGCCAACAGTAACTGACAACGCAATTTTCCAGTCAAGGTCTCCATAATGCATTGCATGAGGGTGAGCCTAAACTCATACATCACAGGAAGAACACAAAACTGTATTTCACAGGCTGAATGCCGCTCACATGACAAGGCTGTAATTATACTGGAATTATGATTAAATTAAAATGCGCAGTTTGACAGCGTGCACAGACCAGAGAGAAGCAAGAGGAAAAATAGTAGACAACCAAATGACCTTTGTTTTAAATTTTGCCGGTCCTTAGAAGCATAAAATGATTACCTCCTTAAAGCGCTACTTTGTGAACCTGAAGGTCAAGCAGAGTGGTTACTATAGTGGCTTTCTGGTTTGATATTAAAGTACTACCTCCCAGCTGTAAAGCTGCTCTCATCAACCAGAACGAATATGAGAAACAAGTCAAACGCAGTGCAGAAAACGATGTCATAAGAATTTTAAAGAATAATCTGAGCAGGTAATGAACAGCCACACCTAAAGAGTTGAGAAAATCAAGTGAATTTGTAGAAATGTGATGTAGAAAGAACTTTTTTTGTTATACGCATGCCTTTGTGTTTGCCAGAGAATGAGTTTCGAATCCCCATCATTTCAATAGACCTTTTCTCACACCAGGCATTCTGACTTGAAATAGAAAAGCAGACAGCACTTTTTTTCTAAATGGAAGGCAGCTCTTCTTGATATACAGCTCCTGCATGTTAAACTCAAAATGTCTACCGCGATTATAATTATAAACACTCAACCAAGCATACACAACTGTAGCTCCCCAAACTGTGGCTGACCAGATGTTTTTAGGCGGATATTTGGGATTTTCCAGCGGGTCATTTCTTGTAGTAGAAGACATATAGCTTTTGAAGTAGCAAAAATTAGGCTGAAAAAAAAGTACAAAAGACTATTCAAACTGTAACAAATGGCAGACAGGGAAACATTTTGGATTAGGTAGAACTTGAAAAGAGAAAATATGAGAAAGAAAAGCTTGATGAGAGCTTCCAAATCCTACAGCTTACTCTGCACACCTGCTGATGCTCCAAACGCAAGCTGTGTGTCAGTTGTGTTGCAAGTGTGCTGGAATTATCATTTGGCCATTTTCCAATAGATCCGTTGATGATTTATCTTAACAAAAAAAAACATAAAGAAAAGGAACTGAAAGCATTTTTTCCTGTAAAGATGCCTAACGGTACTTAAATCATATGTTTGCCTTGGAAATCAGCTGTGAGTAAGCTGCCAGAACAATGAAACTGATTGTAATTAAACACCCACACCAGAACGCACTCATATGTGCGTTTCTATGGCGAATCTTTTAAAACAAAGAATGCGCAGGGTGGGTTTCTAATAGGAAGTTGCTCCACACGTTTGGGCGGCCCTGATGAAAAGCGGATTGTGAGGTGAACTGCTCTTTATTCTCGTTTGCTTTCTGGTTGCAGGAATAGAAATGACGGGGAACAATGAGGGCGAGTCTTTCATCAAACATCTGTCATCTCATCTTCCATCTCGTCCCCCTCCGTTTCGCCCTCTGCCTCGCCCTCTTCCTCCTCTTCCTCCTCAGATGTCACATCCAGCTCATCCGTCTGGGACATGCACTTTGGGCACGAGCAGATAAACAGGTAGTTCTCCCTGAGAAAGCAAATGTTCAGACACTTCAGGAGAGGATTCATTTGAATCTTTCTTCACTGTGGTAATAAATTCTGATGCTTTTCAGCATCTGAGCACATTTCATACTAGTGGTGCATTCATGCCTTTTCTCTGAATATTAGAATTGAAACAGGACACTTAAAAACTTTAAGCCTCTATGCGATTATAAGTTAGATTTGCATCACTCTAATCAATGAGCTCAGGAGCGGTCTTTTGACCCCGCGCTGTTTCCTCGTCCACAACGCCTCTGGATTGCCTGGCAGGCTTTCTATTGATCCAGCTGGAATTCATAAGAGTGTGACCCTGTTGGAGCGATTTATCCGGAGGATTACAGATATTTACCTCAGAATTTTGTGCCTGCTGTGTCGGCTTCTGTCCCGCTGACAGCAATCCAAATAACTGATGCAGATCTCCTGAAAAGTGAAGAAAACACACCGCTGAACTGGCTAAGGAACCTTGACAGAGAACATGAAGCAACTACGCCTCTTTGGTTACAGATTGGTCAAAGCAATACACAAGAAACATTACTATTTTTTAGGACGGAAACATATTTTCTGACCGTCTGTGCTCTGTTATGCAGAAACTGTTATGCAGACAAAAACTTATGTTCTTCCATCTGGCTTTAGTGAAAATAATCTATTTCCCGGGCTTTCAAAGGAGAGATATGCTGTGAAAGTAGTTGTCTGCTGTGACATTCCTGTGCCATTCAGAGGCAAGCCTTCTCAATCTTTCTGACAGCTTGACAAACTCACTCCACTCTTGAAAGTCTCTAATGCTGTCTGACAGGGGGAAAACGCAAAGCTAGAGACGAACGCTCAGTCCCATCTATCCAAAACTGATCACTTCCATCCCGCTGGCTCAGCTGACCTCTCCGGGGATGATGTCACGAAGGGCACTGAGGTGCAGCAGGAAGTTGTTGTCGGGGAAGGACGCCTCTGCATTCGGGATGCAACTGTGGTTACCTGCAAGGTTCAACCACGCCGTGAGGGACGGTTCAGACACATCTTTGTGCGGCAGCGACCAATCACATTAGACATCACTGGTACCTACATGAGCTCTGAAGCAGGAACAGTCCGGAGCCCTCACAGTTCAGGAAGTCTCCGGTTTCTGCGGAGAACACCACGAAATAGCACAGCTGTGGCCTTACTGTTGAGATGTGGACCGCGGTTACGTAACCATACAAACGCCGCAGCTTCCGAAAACTGCAGCGCGGACAATAAACACCCGGTCAAACAATGCGGCCGTTAAAAATCCGCAGGGTTGAGACAAAAGTAATTTACTCTGGAAAAAAATACTGCAGAGGCGAGATAAAACGGTGACCTTTTTCGATGTCCTTGTACAGCTGGTCGATAAAAGAGTCCAACTGCTCCCTCTGCTGGGCGGGGAGCTCCAGCGCATCACAGGCGTGGACCCACTGGCTCAGGGAACTGGAGAGAAACGCACAAAGGAAGCACGGTCTGAGAGCTGAGCAGAGACCTAGAAACGGACTGTCGGTGGCATCAGGGCGGGGGAACAGGCAGGTGTTTACCTGGTGCCGATGCCTTGTCCGTTCGTTCCGACCAAAGCGAACAGAGAGCGGAAACCCTCCGGAACAAACCACTGCAACACAGTCTTAAGTTACTGAGGGCCCTTGTTTTTCACAGTGTGGAGTGTGGAGCCAACTACAGAATCCACTAATGTGGTGACAGACAGACACATTGACTACAGCTGTTAGCTGAATGTTTCAAAGCTCTTAAAATGATTACAAAGGGGAAAAAAACTCATGGATCCACATAAATAAGATTGAAATAAAACAAGCATGAGTCAGGTTCAGCGTATATGCCTGTGAGTTTTGTTTGAACTGGGTTTGACCCTCTGCTTTTCATGATTCAGCTCTGGGCTGGTTGGTCAACCCTATTTATCACATTTCTATTATTTTTCCTCAACAAAGTTATGAGATAAGAACAGATAAACACCTGTCATTAGACAGAAACCAGCTAATTGTACATGACGCCCCTGGAATAAATAAGACAACGTTCAGATGACAAATTCTTACTTTAAAAAAATGAAGGTACAACAAAATGTTCAATTTTGAGACGAGCTTACCCGACTCAGATTGTCGTCAAAAAGTGCTGCTGTAAAAGTAGTGTGCAACAAGGCCAACTGTCCCTGTAAACACAGCATACAAAAAGGAAAAGAGATAATCATCAGCCTTTAAAGACCTAAAAAAAGCAGCCGCCATGGGAGTGAGCCCTCAGAGGGGACGATGGCACTGGACTGTTTTGCTTGTTGAGCTGTAAAGAATTGTGATACTGTCTTTGAACTGGCAGACTTCATACATTTCACACCTCAGTGACTTCACACTAGAAGGTAACTTACCCTGAACTGTTCTCCCAGGAGCTTATGGGCGATCTCCTCCTCCTCGTTCGCCGTCCGGCTGCAGAAGTGAGAGAACAGCTTCTGCCAGTGTGCTTTATCTTTGGCCTGGACAACATTAATAACATTGGGTCATTTGGCCGTTGCAGCATTTTTAATTGTTGGACTGCAGCATTTTATTTTTTGGAACGGAATAATTTGCTGACAATGTTAAATATATGCTTTTAATAGTGCTTTTTTTTTTGCTACAATATTTATCTCTTATTGACTCAAAGCTTATTTTACAGCAGTCTGAATAGCATAAAGTTTAATTTTACAAACAATCCTGAATGAAAATCCGATATTAAAAAGCGCCTTAAACATAAACATAGACACAAAAGTTGCACAAAAGTCCAGGTTAAAAAAGAGAGACGGAACAACAACAATAAAATGACCAAAGAGCTTTTATCCGCTCAGAGTCTCACCTGTTTGACTATAGCTACCATTTTGGCCATAAGCATGATGCTGGAGGTCTCGGGGGGATAATGCATACTCCTGAGAGCAGATAACCATGCTTAGTTCAAATGAATGAAAGCTTTAAAAAACAAATTAGCAGAAAAAGGCATGGTTAAATTATCCCCGAACAGCTCTGTCACCTCCATGCATCTTTGAGCTTGTTGATGGGGTGGTCTGGATCTTCCTGAGAGGGACCCAGACACAGAACCCGGTGATACTGGTCTGCCGCAGCCTGCCGACACTCGCTGCTGCAGTACATCACCTGCAGAGCACGGTTGAAAACAAGTTTGTGTTAGGGTGGTGGCTTTTCGAAGAAAAAAACAGTAAAAAAGTTGTCTTTAAGAAGATGCTTTCATATGCCTTTCACTGGGTCTATTAAAACATCAGTAAACTGGCCAATTTCAGCCCATAATACACAAACTTTTAGGAGTAAGCAGGGATCTAAGCGTGCGTCTCACTAAAACCAGACGTCGTGTACCTGGCACTGCGGGCAGGCCTGGTGCAGCTCTGGCCGAACCCGGCAGAGCTCGGGACGAGGAAGGGTCAGCGCTGGCTTTCCGCTGAGTCTCCTGGCATTTTCCTCTGCAGTTTCCAGAGCTCGTAAGCAGAACTCACAGGCTGGCAACGGCGGCATGAGAGCAGACAAGTAAAGAACTTCAACTTTTTTTTTTCTCTTAATTTTCAATTTTGGTGAAAAATTCCAATGACAATCCAGGATTCCACAGACAGACTCATGTCACAGCTGACGTGGGTATCATCCAACATCAATATTTCTTAGTAATTTAAAGGTGCTAAGTAAAGGTAATCTCCAAAATCCTGCAGGTGCACACATGACAAATCATTGTAGCTTTAAAACACAACCCACATGTCTCCACCTCTCACCTTTATACTTGTACAAGGCATTCCACAGGAACTGTGCAGAAACCAGAGGTCGCTCAATGAAAATGGTGTCCCCCTTCTTGATGCTTTTCTTAGCAAAGAGGCCCTTTCCCTGAAACATAAACAGAAAAAAAAAATACTCATCTACATATGGAGTTTCCTTTTTACCTGAGAAATAACAGCAGCAGACACACCTGCACATCATTTCAGAAATATTTCATAAGTTTAGGAAACATGAAAAATAAAGTCTCCAAACTCATAAAAATGTATTTTCACCCACAATCTTCACTTTAAGGTGGAGGAAAAAGAAAGATGTGACACAAAGTTAGACCTCTCCTCTCATCCCTTTATGAATTATGTAGTATTATGGCTTTTTTTGTTTAGTTTTTTAAAAATATTTTTAAAACAACTTACATCCTACACAACAGAGACCTCTAACCTCCTAAAAATAAATTTTTGCTTATGACTTTCCCCCCCCCTGTTTTCTAATAGGATGAAAAGATCCGTTTCACCAACAGACATTGGTGGAAACTACTTGGGGCCATTAATAACTAATTGTTGCCTTTGACTTAGGATGGGGAAGCAACTGGTTTGTTTTTGGAAGATAAACATAATTTGAGAGGAGTCAGATTTTCATCTTTAAAGCCCCATCTCATGCAAAGGGCGTGGTAAATTAGTCATGAATTGGGTTTCCAGGAGGTTTTGACGACAATAGGAGGATATATGAGAGCCCCATGCAGCGGCAGTGGGATGCAGACGGTATGCGAGCCACACATCGCTGATTTTAAACCACACTAATCCACAGTTTGGATTCGGCTCGTTTCTGCCGATAAACTGAATGAGTCCCACCTTAACGTTGTCTATAAATCTCACTTCCACGTTGCTGGTGACTTTACCGGGTTCCACGCAAAGGGAAAACATGTCATCCAAGGGAGCGGCCATGTTTCAAACGACCTTTACCCTTTCAACCATGTCACGTGACCATGACTGGTTTAATCACGCCCTCTGCCGGCGTGTTGGTGAACTGCACTGGTTTGTGCAGTGAGCAGCTGGAAGATTGTTTTATGTTCGTGTCATACAGAAAAATCAGTCAGGTATTGAAAATGATTTGGAAAATAAAAATAGCTAACATAACTGTGTCTTATGGTTTCACTAAGCTCATAATGAGAGCTTAAACTGTATGTCGGGCTGGAGTACAATGACAAAGAACATGAGCAAATAAACAAACACCAAAACAGTATCTGCCTGCAGACACTGACAACAATCTGACACAAAAAACAATGTTTGATACAGTAAGGGCACATTTTTATAAAATGTAGTAAAAGCAAAGTACTTATTTACTTTATTACAATGAGCAACTCTTCATTTCTTGAACATACACAGTGAAATGCTTCATATCCAAAAATCAAGAGCAAATGATGAATCAATAAATTGATATCTATTATATGGATTAAATTTTTGAATGTGTTGCAAAGGAGTTAACCAAAGATAAACAAATCATACTAACACTCAACATCTGAATTAAAGAGCAGACCCGCCTCACATAGAGTGAAAGATTTTTTATTATATATGTGTATATTGTAAAATAATATATATAGATGTTTTACATTGTCTCGCTAGCAAACATTTAACAAACTTGCAGCAGTATAATCATTGTTTAAAGACAAATATGTAGATATACAGTTGTGATTTACAACAGTCAGGAGGGCAGGAAAGTATTCCCTATGCAAGTTAAGACAGAAAATTTAAGAAAAAAGGTTAATCCCTGCGGTTTTTCACATTATGTGGGTTAAAAGATCTGATGTGATCAGCTTTAAAAAGTGCACTGTGCAGTACACATTTGCGGTAAAATCTCTATGTGTTCCCAGTGACCCCTGGCAGAGATGATTCACATTGTTGTACAGCTGTTGTTATTTTCCAGTTTCTGTTAAAGCACCTGATTAGAGATTAGTTTTTCGGCGTGTGTTCTGGAGGGTATTTACAGCAGTGTTTCAAACATGTCAGAAACACTTAAACTTCCGCCCTCAAACTTTCTATGACTGTCAATGTCTTTTCATACCTCACTGTATCCTTTCTTTACCATTTTCCATGCCAGCTTTCTCATCTGGTCTCATCTTTTTCCAGTACGTCTGACATATACACAGAACAGATCTTTATCATTAAAAATCTCTGTCATTTCTAATAATCTTTATAAGTCAATCAACAGTTTAATATCAGTAATAGAAAATTCTATTTAGTTTATAATATGTAATTTTTTTTCTCCTTGAGTTACATTATGTGCGTTTAGACATTCTCAGAAAAGAAAAGGTGGCACACCATAAACATATTAAAAATAAAATAAATAGAAGACCTTGCCACCGTCTTCCACCCAAAATTAGAAGTTAAGTTTCAAAATGTAAAGCCATTGGGATAGCCTGAACAGCTGTGTTTAGAGTTATCTGTCATGATTAATCAGGTGATGCAGCAGATACCTTGACTTCATGCCTTCTTTCACCCGAATGTTTTTTTCCTTTTCTTTTGTTTTGGTTCAAGTACAGCTGTTTACAACCAAATATCTCTGATACGCTACCTGTAGACAACCATGGAGAGACCACGTAGAGGAGTAGTTGGAGACCATTTTGGCACATTTAGTTCAAGTTTCCGAAAGAGGGTGGAGACCGAAAAGACTAAATATTGGACCTGTACTAATTAGGTCGTCAAAAACACAACCTCAATTCACGGTGCTGTCTCTGAGAACACTACAGTATACGGCACATATATCAGTTAGATAACTGCTGATGCTAAAAAAGATATTATTAAAGAGTTCTTAAAAACAGTTGTAAAGGAAAGAATCTGTGCCTTTTCAACTCTGACTAGATAATTGCAGGGGTGCTCAGAACAGTAGAAAACAGGTTAAAGAATGTTGGAAAAGTACCCGGTCGCTACAGGGGAAATAACGCGGCGGATAGTTCCCTAACCCTGCAGCGGGTGCTCAGTATCAGCCGCTCACAATGCTCCTCTGTTCCCTCCTCGCGCCTCTCATCTCCCACACCACGCCATCCATCATAAACCTTTGTTGTAGGTCACAACCTTGCAATCTGTTGCCATGGCAATTTCCGGCTCAAGACAAGACACCTCGATCTGGCAAAAAAAAAGAGAGAGAGAGAGAGAGAGAGAGAGAGAGGGGGAAAAAAACACTAAGAAGCTGATCATAAAATTCAGCTGTGTTCCTCCACATTTAGCCTTGAAAGGGACTTTCAATTAGACCCAGGAAGAAAGCAGCCGGAATAGGATGTGTTGACCGATGTGGTGTGCATGCTAAGAGGAGTGTATGTAATTTGAATATGTTCACAGCTGTTTGCTGAGCCATCTGGCCGTGAGAATAGCAGCTCATCTGACAGTACATACTGTACCTGAGACATCTGGGGGAACAGGCTGATGGCCACAGGCAGGGAGAGGCCAAATGTAACCAGGCACACGATGCTGTGGATGGGCAGCAACAATCTGCGGTTGCTCCGCAGAAACGGCCGCCTGCACGAATCAGAGAACAGATAAAAGGAAAGTGAGCCTGCAGTGTGGATCGATCCTGCATGAACACTTCAACGCCCGGAGTTATTTTTGGATCTGAAAGCAAAAACCTCATGCAAATTGAAGGGAAGCAATTGCTCACAATTGGAGCGTAGAAAACTCTGGAAGTGAGATCTACAACGTAGATATCCTATTTTATTTTGTGTTAGAATCAAAGCAAAAAGGTATATTCTTTTATTGAAGTTATATTTCCTTTTTTGTTGAGTACTATCTCCCACTGTGGAGACCTTGGGGCACAGCATATGTTGGCTTTGACCTGGTACATGCACAATTGTGCTCCGATTTTTTAGAGCAGACTCAATGAGACAAATCTGTCTTACAAAGACTGTGATGAAGTGGCCCAGTTAAACACACAACACACATTATCCCCCAAATCAAAACATTCATTTTTAAATCTGTTATCAAATACTGACAAAAGAGTCAGGTCAAGAAAAACAGGTCATTTCAGTCGATCGCAGGATAAAAAAAATGCTCCCTCAAGCATCAACGTTACAGCTTGCAAAAGAGACCTAAAAGGGTCCAGAAAACAAATAAATTAATGACACAGCTGAGGGTATTTAGCAGAAAAAATACTTCACAACATGAAGTTTGTTTCAGCTTCTTCACTAATATATGTTCCACCTGTTTACACCTCCTAATGAAAACGATATCTGGATATATTCAGCGGTTGTCGGATACAACTTAACATTTAGAAAATGCCAATTCCATATTCTTTTTTTAAAAAGAAAAAAACAAATGCTTTGCTTATTCAAACCTCTCCAGGTAGGACATGATGATGGGGGGCAGGACGAAGATGGGCATCGGCAGGACCACGCGAGTAAAGGCGGTCTCCATTATGGCCTGAAGATCAATATTAGAATATTATGTAAAAACACCATTTAAAACACTGCAATGATATTTAATTTTTTTTGTAAAAACAGATGCTGAGTTGCAGGAGTAGGAATAGAGATAGATGTCTCCCTTATCATCAGTCAACATGACATTTGAGATTCATCAATAAGAATCCACTCACATGTCGTGCAGCAATTTTGGAGGATCCCACCACGTTGCCGCTGTTGTCCAGCACATCGATACCTTCAGATAGCTCATTGTGTCTCATCAGACCCACGTTGCAGATGTTTGCACTCGCTGTGGCGCGGGACACAAACTCAGATTTATCGAATATATTTATATAATAACATCTTAACCTGTCTTAGACAGGAAATGCAGTCACAAATATGCAGGAAAATATTCTTTGTATCATCATAACATAAACCTGATGTATTGTTAGTGTTGTAAAACAGAGAACTTATGTTATATGTTCTCTACACCTCTGCTTTCCTCAATTCAAACTGCCATGAGACTTAAATGTATGCTAATTAATATAATCAAGTGCTTCTCAAAACCTGCATCTGCAGGCAACTAGGGGACAGAATTATCTCCTGTTTTTTCATTAAGGATGATCCAGTTTTTCCTATGCTGAAGGAGGCACTAAATGTGCTGTTGCTTAGATTCTTCTGAACCAGACTCTGAGCCATTTGAAAACTCACCGACCGCTGGGAAGGGGACCAATCTCTGAATGATCATTCGGGTGGCAGGGCTCAGCTTGTTGGCCCTGTCAATCAGGATGTTCAGTCCCACCTAATAAATACAAACACATTTGATAAGAGTATTTAAACTACACAGCGCTTACACCACAAATAAAGGGACATGTGATGTTTACATGAATCAGCTGCCCTGCTTGATACTTTAACAATTACTCACTTGTCCTTTTGCCTTTTCTATACAATAACATGTTTAGCTGTTTTCTGATCCCTTCAAATCTTTATTCTGTCTGGGTTTGATTTAAGATTAATGTTCTAGTGACTCCTTGGACCTTTGACCTTTTTCATGAGTACTCTTCTTTTTTGTCTTCTGATGCCGTCATTCAGCAGATCTGCTTTCTCACTGCCGCTTCAGAGGAACAGCTCTTTCCAGTTATTATTAAAGTGCAATTTAAATACAAGTAAACTTTAGTTCTAAAAATGTACTACTTAAACGAGAAGAAAACCGATGTCACTGAAGAGCAACACACTCACTGCGATGGAAACAGCACTCGATACAGCTCCCACATAGCCTTGAAGAAACTTGGATGTTGGAGTAGGCTGAAGAGAGACCAAAAACACAAAGCCAAAACTTCACTGATAAAACTGCATCTTAACAGAAAAGGACTCAGAGCCAAAGGGTGAATGAAACAGAAAAAATGAAACAGAATGAATGAAACAGAGAAGAGGAAGATTGTCGGGTAGTTTCTACCTTTGTGGCGTTGCGGTTTGCATAGTTCACACAGGCATTGTGACTCTGGTTCAGCCACTGAGGGGACAGGAGAGGGAGTGGAGAGTTAATACAGGAGTAGACAACCAGACAGTTGATAGATAGATAGATAGATAGATAGATAGATAGATAGATAGATAGATAGATAGATAGATAGATAGATAGATAGATAGATAGATAGATAGATAGATAGATAGATAGATAGATAGATAGATAGATAGATAGATAGATAGATAGATAGATAGATAGATAGATAGATAGATAGATAGATAGATAGATAGATAGATAGATAGATAGATAGATA